GCAGCTGATGGAAATGTCATAAGTGCAGAACTTCTCTGGGGTTTCCTAGGTCAGACAGTTATTCCCCTTCCCGTCTCACATCCTAAAAAGTGAATGCTGACAGCTGAGAAGGGAACTCTGCAACTTAACATACTACTGTACTTTTTATTACCCAAGGGTTACAATAATTCAACCCTTTGCTACAGCTTTAAGCAGTAATATTATCCCATTGTGTAATTGGAAAAGGGAGTCTTCTGCCTTTGGAGCTCTGGAAGTTGGCAGGGATTAAAATGACAAGCAGGAGGGGAAGCTGGGTATGTGTTTTAGTTAAAAAAACTTAGTGTTGTAGTACCACAAAGCCGAAACATTAGTCAGACATTCCTGTTGGGAGAACTGACAGGAAATAATATGATTTACAATCTGGGGTATGTCTAGAGCATGAAAGGAAGGAAAGACAGTCATTTGCTGGTTGTGTACTTCTGGCCCAGAGTTAATGAAGGAAGATACTTTGCCTGTAAACTGACCATTGATCAAAGTGATCTGATGTGTGATTGCTCCAAATTGCATCAAATTGAGCACATGTTCTAATTGTGGTGTCTCTTCAGGTTTTTATTTTATGTCTGTTCTCTGAACATTGAGATGCCACCTTGTACTTTAAACTTGGATAAATAACCCTTCAGATGCCAGCCTTGAGCAAAACTTGTGTGTGAAGCATCTCAAAAACCTTTGTTTTATCTGTTACATCAGCTGTGTGGCCTTTTCACCTTAATCTTAATTACTGCAGTAATTTTTAGGTCACCCAGTTGTTCTCAGCTGGCATCACTGATGGAAAAGGGGGTCGGTAGCACATTCATGCCTGGAGTAGAAGTGTTGTATTGGGTTTGCTGGTGGAAAAGATTTGGTGGCCCAAGTGGCTTATTTCCCAGAAAGGGCTAAATTTGGAGAAGCTGCCACTGCTGTAGCACTGAGCTACCTCGGCTCAGGAGTTACCTCTGAGTAGAATTAATACAGAAACACAACACAGAACTGAAACTAGCCTGGGTTTCATTTTGAAGACACTGCCCAACTCTGTTTATTATCAGCAATAACACAGTCAGGTGAGCAGGATCCATCCCAACAAAGGTGTGAAGGCCAGGGAATTAAATCCACAGGGCTTTGTGGTAAATGGGAGCAAATTCCTGCTGACTGGAAGGCTGGGAGCTTTAACTGAAATCTTTAACGTGCCTTGAATTGGAAAGGCTTCAGATCGGGAGAGTTGCAGGTTTGTGTAAACCCTCTGAAAACATGGAACATAAGTTAAGTCATGGAACTGGCAACAAAGAGCTGTCAAAAGCTGGGAATAAAGCCTGTGAATTTCTCCATGTGTGTACAGTGAAATGCCTCTGTAAAGACATTTAAAAGTGCAAAATACTTGTAGTAACTCCTCAGAGTGCTGGTGTCTGTTGAAAAGAGTAAACAAGTGTCACTTGTGTGAGGTGTTACTGGTTCTGCCAGCGATGCTGGTGCCAGAAAGGCTCTAGATGTGTGTCTTGGGGTGTGAGAACTTTATCAGGTGTCAGTTCTGTGCACAAGGCTCTGCAGGCATGGGGTGGCTTAGTGCCTGGTCTGCAGGGTGGGTTTGGTGCCATGGGCTATGGCAGCTGCAGACGAAACTGTTTGCTCACAGGTTTGTGCAGTGTTGGGTCAGCTCCTGTTTCCTGATATCAGCACAGTCCCTTCCTGCCAGGGATATTCCTGTGCCCTGTCCCCCTCAGCCCAAGGAGCTCTGTGGTTTAGGACACTTCATGAGTGTGAGTCAAAAGGAAGTTCAGCTTTTTGCCTGTTGGAATTTTTAAAAGAAAATTCAGCTTTTTGCCTGTTTCAGTTTTTGTGATTTCTGTACCTATAGTGACTTCCTGTTTTTTTTTTTTTAATTTGTGTTTTCTGCGTTGAATGACATCTACCCGTACTCAGCCTTTAAATTAAAGTATACAACTATGCCCCTGTGCAAATGCACATTTTACCTTTAAGCACTATTTTTTCTGATTTGAGCTTTAGCACAGTGTGCCTAAATGACCAGGGACCTGTGGCTGTTGTCAGAGGGTTTCTTTTTTGGAAATAAGCTAAACACAGCAAAGAAACTGAAGAGGAAATGCAGGCAAAGGAAATATAACTATAGACATAACCTTTTTCCCTGTGGTAGTACCATGGGAATGCTGTAGCAGGTGCTTAAGTGGAGATTCTAGATAGTCAAACATCTTTAAAGGAAGCTTATTAAAGAGGTTTCAACTAAGCTAATGTTTTCAGTCTTTGAGACTCCTGTGATCTCTAAATCCTTCAGTGACTTCAGCTGTAATAAAACTTCATTTAAACTTTCTGTCTGAACTCCCTGCTCCTCCACAGGAGTTCTGGGCTGGATGAAACAGGAATGGTGGAAAACGACCTCATATCAAGTAAACACGAAGCTCATTAAGTCCAGTAACCTCAAAGAGCTTGGCTTTGAGAGCAGCCCAGCCTGGAGACAGCCTGTCTGATCACCTGCTCAGTGAGCAGGGGTTTATAAGCCTCTCCATATCCAAAGGCAAAAATTCCGTGGAAGTGTTTTGTCTGGAGGTCTGTTATAAACCTGGTCTTCACTACGTGATTTTACAAGAGGATTAAGCAAGTGGAAGTCCGGAACAGGTGAAGTTAAGTAAGTGAGGTCAGCTCTGGTGAGGTGGGTGACGTATGTCCTGAATTCCCAAAGAGCACCTTCTTCTCACACAGGTTGTGGTGGGGTTTAAGTGCCACTAATAATGTGCAACTCTCAAAACTGCAGTGGCAGCACATCCCTGGGAGCGTTCACCTTCCCTAAAGTCAGGGAACTGTGTGCTGCTGGTTCTGGCACTTTGGATGTGGTTCCTGTCCCTCTGTGTGTTAAGTGCCTCCATCTATTCCATGTCCTTCATCTGGGCACAGGTGTGGAACCAAAGGATGTGTTTGACACACACCTGGTTTTTAAACCTTCTTTTCCCCTGCAGTGAAAGAACCAGAAGCAAAAGATTCTGGTAGAATTACCATTTCAATTCTGAAATTGGATATACCAGATGTATCCAATACCCTAAAGTACCACTTTGCTCTCTAATCTGTCTTTGTGCTGTCTTTTTGACCATTCAGCCAGATTTATGCTGGATTAAAGTGACCGTGTACCCATGGATTTAGGGACAGAACTACAGCAGACCCTGCCTTTATTTTGGCGCTTTAGGAGATCCATTGGCAAGATGTTCAATTACCTGAATGCTCTGCAAGAAACTGGAGAGGGCTGCTGCTCAGCCGTGGTTTTACCTCCTCGATACCAGGAAAATACACTGTTAGTATTTGCTTGGATATTTTTGCTTTTCCATTGCCAGCTGAGTCTGACCCCCTTTGAGAATCTCTGCCTTAAACAGTCTTGCTTATGTCATTTTACTGTTGTTATTGAAGATATTGGTATAAAAATGGTCAGGCCAAGTTCTCTTGGTTAGTCCATAAACACTACAAATACAGATTGTCCTTCATTCAGTGTATTTATTTCAAATTTGCCTCACTGTAAACTACTGGAGTTGCAGCTTTACTGGTGGTTTTTAACATCCTTCCCTAGGCTTTTTGGTCTATTAAGCAATTCCAGCTGGCAGAGGAGAATGGAGCACTTCTGTAAGTGTTCCCACGATCCACAAGTGAGGAGCGTGACCTTGTGACCATGTGCCAGCTTTCCTTCCTGGACATAAGAGATAACAGGAGATAAAGACAATACTTGGGGAGAAATCCCCTGCCTGGGCTTGGCTGCAGGAGCTGGGCAGATATATGGGAGATGATGCCTAACTGCAGAGCTGGAATATTTTGCAAAGCTGATGTCCTATAACGTGAGCTGGATGAGAAACAAATATATGATCTCCCCAACCCAGGCTGTAAATATTTATCTTTTGCTGGTGAATGGGCAGTACCTTTATGGGTGTCCACTAAACTGAGCACTCCCTCCTTTCCTCATTCCTAAGGCATAGCTTAATTGCAGGAAGCTTTGCTTCCTGTTTCTCCCTGTCCTGGGGGCTGCTACTTTGAATAATGTTATAATGGAACTGTTTTGGTACTGAAGCTGTTTTTAAATAAATCTTTTGGGGCTTGGCAGAGCACAGGAGGTGAAATTAAAGCTGAGCTTGTGTATGGGTGGCCAGAAATGGCAAAGAGAAAAGGGAGGGGAGAAGCAGTGAAAACAAACTGGCTGTGCTTCACCTGACCTGTGATTAAAGGAACTTGTGCAGATTTTGGGTGCTGTTAGGCCAGCAGGAAAGTGTCTTTTTGTATGTCTTGGTGAAAAGGAAGCTAAAGCTTATGCCAGGATCATGGCTCAACTCATCAAGTGTCTATGGTAACGTCTGGGGCACATTTTCTGACTCCGAAGTGAAGTTTAAGGGTGGTTTTTGTGTATCAGAATTGGTGTGAGACCTGCTGCAATGAGCCCTCTGAGGAGAACGTTGCTGTGATTTCTCTAAATAACTGAAGTCCTTGGTCTCAGATACAGGGAACTTTTGGTGTGTGTTTTGTAGGAAGAAAGAAATAGTAGATCATGCTGTTTGTTTCATTCTGGTTTCCTGATAAAGCTGAAGGAGGGAGAGAGAGATAGAGCTCTGTATTGGAATAGAGTTTGTCTTGGATACTGGTTATCTCAAGCTGATCAGTGCAAATGAGGAAATGTTAAACGTGCTTTGGGAGAAGGAACTTTCAGTTCCCTGCCCAGGTTATTGTTGGGATGGTGTGTAAAAACAGCACATTAAACACACAAATATTGGAAGCAGTTTTTGGTAAGGACCAGACTCCTTTCCATCAGCTGCATGGTGTTAAATCACAAGTCAATAATCCATGATCAAATGTACTGAATTTTATTTGTATTAATGCAAACCATGCTGCTGCTTAGGACTAGGAACTGTATCCTGTATCAGAGGAGTCAGCAAGTTCTTGTGTGTGTGTGGGATTTGATAGGTTACCTGTACACGTGGTGACAGGGATGTATGTTCTTCTCCCTGCAGAGTGACCAGCAGCTGGATTGTGCCTTGGATTTGATGAGGCGTCTGCCTCCACAGCAGATAGAGAAGAATCTCAGTGACCTCATTGACTTGGTGAGTATTAGATGCTGTGCCCAAGAAGTGGCTGTGACAAAGGTCTGGTATGCAAGAACATCTCGGAGGTGTGGTGGTTGGTTTGTCCCCTTGTCTTTTGCCAAGGTTGAACAAACAATTGTCTGAGCAATGTCAGGAATCTACATGTTTATTCTGGGCAAGCCAACAGGTTGTGTGTGCAGGGACACTTTGGGATGAAGGGTCATTAGCAGCTCTCTCGATGAACTTATGACCAGGTTGGAGGCTGCTGTTTAAACTTGGAACAGGGTTGATGCAGGCACTGGTACCTGGGTATTATCTCCTGATAAACAACCTGCCTGTGTGGAGCTGTAGGAGGAGCAGTGGCCGTGCCACCCCACGCCCTTCAAAGACACTTCTAAGAATGTGTCAGAACACTAGGGATCTGGAGAACACCCAAATCTAGTTATAATTTATGCTCTATCAAGTATACTTCAGTCCAGTGTCAAAAAAACCCAACCATCTTATGCCCGAGACCTGTTTTACTGCTTGTCCTGGAACTTTTGTTGTCCTATAAAATGCTAGTGAAAAAAACAAAAAGGATTTCTAGGCTCATTACAAGTTGCACAGGATTTAGTTGCACATTCTGTGATGTACATTTGGGCTGTAATTGCCGAGTTATTGCCAACTCTCCCTTAAAACTGTGTGTGGCACAGTTGCCTCTGGAGTAACTGAAGGTATTACTGAAATATGGGTTAAATCGGTACAGAACCTACAATTGGGAAAACTTGTTTCTATTGTCCAGTCTAAATACATGGCTTATTTCTGACCTAAGCTTCTAAATTTGTGCAGACAGAACATTGAGGCTGGAACAGGACTGTTAGACCTTTGAATTCAGCTAAAAGCTTATCTCCAGTGAGAACTACATCCCTTTTCTGTTGCAGGTCAGAATCTTGTGTGATGGTGACAAACCTTGCCTGAAAGACTCTCAAAATCTGATGGTGCTGCACATAGCAGCTATTTGAATTAGTGCCTCTTAATTAAATAGTTTGAATTGTGTCTGAGCTATTTGTCATCTCTGTGTGCAGAAGAGCAGCTGCTCACCAGGTAAAAGTTTGGTTGGAGAGGTCTGTTCCTAAATGGTTCTGAAGCTGGTGTTGGTAAACTATGGTCAAAAGTTGTGACTGACTTAAATTTATCAAAGTCTAAGTACTTCTTTTACTTACATAAGCCAAGGTACAGGTAAGAAAGCTCTGGGGGTCAGGAAAGATATTATTCCCTGCAGGAAGGGATTATTCCTCTTTCTTGAAACCATTCAGTAATTGCCTACATCTGTGCCATGAAAACTCCTGGCAACCTAAAGCATCACTTTTGTGGGTGTTGCTGGAGGTAGGATACAAGTAACTAAATCACAGGTATGATCTGGTGGGACATGGTTGGTTTTCTGATGAAACTGGGAGGACTGGACGATATCAGGGTTTGAGCAGCTCCCCAGGACCATTCAAAAGAAGGAGTTGTTTGGGGAGCCATGGGAAGCTTGACTGTGTAATTGCTATAAGGGTTTTTAATGACTCAGAAAATTGCTGGGTACCTCTAAATGTTGGAATTACTTTTGGATGGTGCTCATTAGTGCTCTACATGCTTTCCATCAGCAACACGCTTGCTGAGCTTCTTTTCATATTGCAAGTGTAACATGAACCAGACTGGTTTGATGCCTGTTAGAAGGTCTGTGTGATTCCCAGTCATTGCAGTCCCTTCTCTGGGGTAGAGATGAAATAATTTGTTAAATCCAGTCCGATTTCTTTATTGTTGAGACATATGTAGACCTGTTCTGCAGCCACTCTCAGCCTGACCTCCTGAAGTCTACACTGCTTAGGCAAGAGCAGTGTATGCTCTGCCACCTGTAATAGTTCCAAAAACATCATAAGCCAGACTCAAGCAAATAGTTTTTTGACCTTTTTTGGCAAATTTCATCCAAACCGTTACAGCTGATGTTTTAATTCTGTTTCCTGTGCCATTACCAGACAATAACCTCCTTGAAGTAAAAGGTCAGACTTCGAATGCACTACGAGCATGAGCGGGTTTATTAAACTTGGGATAGAATTATAAAAGATAAACCCTGATTTCTGGGTTTCCTTGCTTCATTACACTGCCTTGCTGCAGTACATGTGAAACAGAGGCTTGTGTCAATTTTTTGGTGGGAAGTTTAGGTTCACTTGAAATCTGCTTGCAGCTCAGTTTGCCATAGTCTTTTTATAGGACTTGATCTCCAGACTGAGGATTTGCTACTTGCTTAAGATCCATTGAAAGGAAAGAAGATGACTTAGAAATGTCTTTGTATGTAAAAGATTTTCCGAAACTTATACAGTGAGAATCTCCATAGAATCCCAGAATGACTTTGGTTGGGAGGGTTCTTGAAACCCATCTCATCCCACCCCCTGCCATGGGCAGGGACACCTTCCACCAGCCCAGGTTGCTCCAAGCCCCATCCAACCTGGCCTTGAACACTTCCAGGGCTGGGGCAGCCACAGCTTCTCTGGGCAACCTGTGCCAGGGCCTCCCAACCCTCTCAGGGAGGGGTTTCTTCCCAATATCCCATCTAACAGTTTAAAACCACTCTGGCAGTTTAAAACCACTCCTGGGCTGGTATTTCTGCTGGGAGGGATAACCACACTGAGTTCTCTCCCTGAAGTCCCTCTTACTCCATCAAAGCCATGTTCTGCTGCTATTTTTTCATAAAAGAGCATCTTGACGTCCATCTGAATACATGGAGTGTGTGCAGAACTGTCCAGGACTGCCCCCAAGTGTTGTGCTGACAAGGGAAACGGTCCAAACTTGAACATGAAGGAAAAGGGTGGGTGGAAAAAGAGAATTTTTGGGTCACTGGCCCTCATCAGCCCAGACACTTTTCATTCATTAGCAGAACAGTTTGTGGTTTGCCCTTTCACCACATCTGTTGTTGCATTTTTCGGGCTGTCGGGTCTTCAATTAGAGTTCATTAGAGACCTTGTCAGTCACAGCTCTCCTGAAGTCCTGCCTGAAAGAAGCTGTGCTGGAAATGGGCCTTGGCATGGAATGCTCTGCTTGGTATTCAATTAGTCATTATTTGTAAATACACTGCTCCGAGGCTGTCAGGATGCACAACTTCGAAGGAGTTCAAAATCTCTACAGAAAAAGTTTGGTGTAGGCATGTATCCTTTTAAGGACAACTAATTTAAATTAGAATAATTTTTCATGGAGCTCCTCTGCAAACTGGGAGCCTTGGAGCATCTACCTCTGGGCCAGGTCCGAGCTGTAAGGCAGTTCCCATAGGAGAGAGGAAGGTGATCACACTGCTCTTAAATGGGTTTGTGAGGATGCTTCAGATCAAAAGTTGATCTTGATAATCCTGGAGGTCTTTTCCAACCTAAATGATGGAACTTGGAACATCGATCTTAATTGTGTCACGTAAATTCTGTGTCACCTCCTTATTGCCTTGCATTGCCCAGGAGTTGCTGCTGTCATTACACTGTGATTCTCATGGAAGTCAGCTGGGAATCACATCTGTTCTCATCCCTTGCTGAAAGGAGAATGTGAGGATGTTCTCTGGATGGAAGTGTTTCTTGATGTCAGTAAGAGTGAGGTTTTGTTTGGCTCATGGAGGTCACACTGCAGTGACATGAAGCTGAAGGAAGGAGTCTGGTACGGTTCACTTCTGAGTGGCCCAACAGTTTATCCTGGAAGATCAGAACAGTCCAAGGGAATCGTCCTCCTGCTTCCTTTCTCTTAAGATCAGTTGTACAGTAACTCAGCCCCCAGTATTTTCAGCTGCATTCTCTCCAAAAGAAACCCCAAAGAAGGGATCAGCTTTTGGACAGTGCTGCTGTGGAGGATCCCTTCCTAGGACACCTTGGGAGCACATAGTGGGTGGGTGAGTGATAGGCGGGGTTGCAACCTCCAGAATCCTTTTGGGGTACGTTCTGCAAGCACCTTCCCTGAGGTGTCACAGAGGGCTGCATCTTGGAAAAGGTGCAAAGTGGATTTATTGTGCTCATGAGCCACGTGCAGCAAATAATGGATCTGTGACGGGATTGCCTGGATGGCTTTGACTTGAATGTGGAAGTTGATGTGCTCTCAATCTTGGTAAAAGTTAAGCAGGCTCCTTTTGCAACTACAAATTCCTGCTGACTGTTTAATTTGGACGTTTGCCTGGGTGTGTATAATATAAATTAGATGGAATATCTAGCTGACTTGGGACAATCAGATGGCTGGCATGGAGTGGGGACAGGGAATCATCCTCCCAAAAAGGACAAGCAGGTACACCAGGAGAGTGGGATTTGCTCACAGCCACAACTTTGTTCCTCTCTTTTCCCAGTAAGACTGGTATTGAAATAACACTCATTCCCAAAAGTGAAAGCTTTCTTGAAGAACACAACCTGTTAATGCAGTCATGGAAGAACTAAAGCGAGACTCCTTCAAAGACACAGCATCAGTAACTTAACTGGTTATTTTTCAAGGCTCTGTTTGCAATTAAAGATCTGGGAGGTGATCAGCTCTGCTTTCTCATCACAGGAGAATGCTAAAGTATTTTTAGGAGAATATGTTGCTTTTTAGAAAATCCAAGTGTGATGAATCTTAAAATGTATAAACTTACGATTTTGAAATATTTGAACACGAATCAGGACCTTGCTTGCCCACAGGCAAGTTCCAAATCTGCTTGTATGCCTTTAGTGAGTGAAGATATATGAAGTTAGAGAATTTATTCCCAAGCAAACTGCATTGCTTGGGCTGCACAGACCATAAAGAACATGAGAATGTGACTGTAGCTTTTTATAATTGGAGTCCAAGAGCCTGAGCAGTGTGTGGCATCGAGGAGAGAGATAAAATAATTGAATGCAGATGCCCAGCTCAATGTCTAGTGAGGGTGGGAGATGTTTTAAAAAAAAAATCAGACCCAGTGGAAGCTGAAAAAGAAGATGGTAGAAGTGTATTGACAGCCCTGTGGACTCAAAGCTGAGGCTGCTGTTCTCCCTGGGCTTGCTGACCTGTGGCATGGGCTCCCA